AACCTGATGCAAGATGATCATTTGTTTCTGGGTAATTATCACAGAACCTGCATTTTGGGCTAACACTATATTTTAATATTTGTGCTTGACAATTTCTAGTTAACAAGCACTAATCCTGTGCAGCAAGGATAAAACATTCCGTTTCAGCTTTTGACACTGCAATACGTAGCCACTGGCTTACTATATCAGCTTGTTTGGTACTGACAGAGTATGGAACATGAAGCGGTTTATCTTGCCATTGTTTCTGTATCTGGTTTGTTGTATTTGATTTTGCTTTCTTCTTTATTTATTTTGCAGCTTCAATCGGTGTATTGTGCTTTACTTGTATTTCTACATCCATTTGAAACTCCATTTTGAACTTCTTCTCCTCTTCTTCTTCTTCTTCTTCTTATTATTATTATTATTATTATTATTATATTTCCCGTACTACAGAGGTTCATAGAAGATTGAATCACAGTATGTCGCTTCAAATCTCAAGAACCTTTTCGCCGTCCATTGAACTCGCTGTCCACTGAATTCGATCCTCACTGGGTATCCCCATAATTTGGCGTTTGGCATTTTTATATGCCAATCAATTCATAGTATACTTTCTCTTAGATTAGTTGCTACTTAAAGCTAGAGACCTTAATCTACCCTGCGCTTATGCATATAATTCGAAGTGATGGGTTTATGCCTTTCTCAAAAGCATCTGGCCCAGATTTTGAAAATCGCTCGCATCGATATCCACACATCCCACCCCCAGAAATCGTCTTCTATATGTCACTTCCCGGACGTGCGAGGTCATGTCTCTCCCCAACTTCCTATCATTGTAGTTCTTGAGTAACTTTTCTCTTTTTGCCAACGCTTTCATTGACCCATCCATTCAAAATAGCTGCTCAGGTAGATGGCCTTACTCTCCCCTTTTGACTTCAATAAGCCCTGTGAGTGTCAGATTCTTCAAACCCTCCTTCCTCCTCATTATGTGACCAAGAAATTTAAGCTCTAACTTTCTGGTTCTAATTATATTTTTTGTTTCTATTTCCCTTATGCCTTCTTTGTTGCTTATGCACGCCGTCCATTGTATTCTCAGTATCCTTTTGTAGAACCACATTTTTGTTACTTCCAGTTTTCTTTTCTATGAGATGTCCAGCATTCACTGTCATATAGGGGGACCGTTATTACATAACTGTTAAGTACTCTTTTCTTTGTTTCTAATGAGATTATTACTGTTTCTTAATACTTTGCTTAGCTTTTGGAAGGCATCTTTCGCACCTTGACGCACCTTCGGATTTCGGTATCACATTTCTTTGTTAAAACACTTCCTAAATATTTACATTTCTGTACTTGCTCAATTTTGGAATCTCCTATTTGTAATTCGCACGTTGAGCTCTTCTTTTTATATAATTGTATTATTAATCGTATGGTTATTGTATATAAAACCAATTCGTTATCACTTGCTTTTCTATTCTTCCCCTTCTTCCCTCTATATTTCTTGTTCTCCCCCCTGCACACTCTCTCTCTCAACTTGATACAAGCACAATGGCTATAATCCGGAAAAAGAAGATTAATCATGGCGTCAATGGGGAATGACGACAATGAAGGCAAAGGCGACTAATGATGATAACAAGACAGAAAAGTAATGCTCAGAACAACAGAAATCATGCTGAAAGTGACGTCATCAGCGATGATGACGACAATGATGATGTTCACGTGATTTTAACATCAGCGAATCAGAATGAAGCACGTGGTGATATTGGGTAACAATGATGATTCTGATTCTAGCGGCTTATACAAATAATGTTCCAGATTATCTCATCGATTCTGTTATTGATTGACAGACAGATCGATTGAGTTATTGATAATTACTGGGCTTCCATTAATGAAATACAGAAGCAGATGAAGAGAACAAAGAGAGTATAGCGTCAAACTTCCAACGCTGGTGAGTCAGCTTGCATTTAAAATCGGTATTCAAAATCTTGGATTTTACCAGAGCTCGAAACCTAACCACTGGTGACGGTGAAAAAGACATTTATCAATAGCTCATGAGTTTAGCTTCGTTTCACACAATATCCAGTTGGCATAACCATCCACTTCCTAGGTATGACGATAAACTAGATCCGCGTCCTGGGTATGGCGATAAACTAGATCCACGTCCTGGCTATGACCATACACGACATCCGCGTCCTGGGTAAGACGATAAACTACATCCGCGTCCTGGGTATGACGATAAACTACATCCGCGTCCTGGGTAAGACGATAAACTATATCCGCGTCCTGGGTAAGACGATAAACTACATCTGCGTCCTGGGAAAGATAATAAACTACATCCGCGTCCTGGGTAAGACGATAAACTACATCAGCGTCCTGGGAAAGACAATAAACTACATCCGCGTCCTGGGAAAGATAATAAACTACATCCGCGTCCTGGGTAAGACGATAAACCAGATCCGCGTCCTGGGTAAGACGATAAACTATGCCCAACAGCAAGGCCTCTGATCAGGAGATTTTGAGGAGCATAGAACCACTTCTTAATTGCTGGTATTTCCAGGTCCACCCTAACCTGGGGTGATAGCACCTGTTAGGGTCCCAACTCTGGGCAAATAGTTAAACCCCCAAACTGGGGTCTAAACACTATGGAAGTGTAGAAATAGGTTTTAATACCAGAAATACTTTGTAAAAAATTATTAGCATCAATAATTTTTTAAAGGATAAATAATAACAGCTAAACATTCTTGAAGGAAAAAATATTATCAACCAGAAAAATTGTCGGCATTAAATAACCCATTGTGGTTGATATGCCGTAAAAACAAAACAAACCATAGCAAACCAGTTGGCATAAATGAGGAACATAAAAACTGGATTTCACCAATCTTCGAATTGGGAAATGACTGCTTCTTTAGGAAATCAATTGGTTTAATATTGTTTTCTGTTTTTTTTTTTTTTTTTCGTCTAGGACTGTATACTACATCAGTAAGATTTCTTGGGTGTCTTACTGTTAGGAAGATTTATGCGGATGAAAAGAGTAGTATAATGGTTATCAGCGCGGTAACTGGAATCGGCGAGCCGTGTTTAAGTACCTGTCTAGTCTGTTGTATTCCATTTCGCACCTATTCTCCCCCACCCAGCTATGGATAGTAGAGGAGACAAGGCTTTCTAACCATGGCTTGCAGCTTTTATTGACGGATTCGTTTTCCACGGTATCAACTCTTTGCAGGTCATTTAAAGTCAGTACGGTGGAGTAATGCATAGCGGCTCGGATTAAGGAATCGAAGAGCCGAGTTCGAATTCCACTCGAATCCACTACATTCACTTACGTGCTAATACCCTTGGAAAATGCATGGATCCTCTTCTTCTTCCCTCAGCTATGGGTAAACAGTAGGACAGACCGGGTTCTATAGCCTAGGATGGCAACTGGTCTTACGCAGGAATAAATGGCAACCTACTGCGGGAAAAATTGCCTCGTTAGGAAGATACATGATCACCTAAGCGTCTACCACGCATGGCACATAACTGAGTAACTGACATACAACTATTACTAATTAACCCATAGCTTGTGGGAGAAGATGTGGATCCATACCTTTCCCATGAGTATTTGCACATAAGTGAATATAACGAAGCCAAAGTGAATTCGAACTCGGCTCTCCGATTAACAATTCCGAGCCATTATTCATTGCACCACCCGCTCATCCAAGTTTACAGCACCTGGAATTCTTAATCGGTTAACAATCTAGGTACTAACCAAGTTCGACACCCAATCTTTGAGAAGGGAAACTCTAAATAGATAACTGCGTAAAATATAAAGGGAAACTACTTCACTATCTTATATAAGAATTTAAAGGAATTCACGCATAATAAAGGAAAAGGAAGCTGTGGAGATTCATCATCGTTTCTGTCCTAAACGGACATGGCCTTCTTTTTAAAAAGAGAGATATGTTTAAATTTATTTTATGCAAGTGAGTTTTGCTTTTCCATTATATTATTCCTTTAATTTACTTATTTCTTTTTCGATCAACTCGATTAATTCCTTTTCATCTATATACATGACTAAAACCGAAAGGCAATTTTTAATCATTTCACCCTAAGTACGGCAATGAAGTCAAAATGACACAAGGGGTTACTGAGGGTCTATGAGAAAACCTACTGTTAAGGAGAAAGGACAATAAAAGAATAAGAATTAAGAAGATAACGATTGACATTGCATTTAAGCTTTTGAAGATCAAACTTGACTGGGAAGCAAGAAGCCAGAAGAAAGTTCCACAAGCAAGAAGTGTGACAGAAAAAAAAACTGTTAGCATAAAACTTACTAGTACATCTAGCCAATTCAAATCTAAATTGGTAAGACCTTGCAGCCAATCTAATACCGCGCTTAAATTCTTAAAGTCTAGGTCCCATAGCGGAAAGTTCATCAGAATAATTACCATGAAAATATTTATAGAAAAGGCACAGGGACCATTACCAAGATATACATAAACACCGATTTATTAAGGAAATAAAGCATTTATCTTCAATACTCCTCTACCTTAAGAGGCTCATGAGTCTTTATTTGATGAACCTGATTAAAACAATATGTTCACCATCCTTTTTGCATTTCACTGATTCCATTGAAGGGAACAAATCTGATTATGAGTAAAATTGGAAGCGATATCATCAGCCAACACTTCTATATGTTCGGCCGTAAATTATACGTTACAGATAATGACGAACTTGAAAGACTTTTAAGAATTGTTAAAAGCTTTAATGACGTGATAAGGATCTAGATTAACTTGGATGAATCTAAGAAAACATCATTATTATTATTATTATTATTATTAGACAATTTCATGTTTGTTATTCTATGTCAGAAAAAAAGGGAGCATCAGTGCAATTTAAAATTAGTTAAGCAATTTCCAGTTCAAACATGCCTTCCATTTCAGAGTAGTGTTGAACTAATTATATATTTATAAAAAATAGTTTTTTCAAAGGGAGATAACTCCTAATTACAAAGTCGATAATCTTGACCTATCTGCACACTTCTCCATCAGCTATAGTACTATACCAGTAGTAGTAGTAGTGGTAGTAGTAGAAGAAGACGAAGAAGAAGAAGAAGAAGAAGAAGAAGAAGAAGAAGAAGAAGAAGAAGAAGAAGAAGAAAATTTCCCAAGCGGAAGGTGCACCAAAAAACAACATAAAAGAAAATCTCAAGTTTTTTTTTATAAAGTAACCAATTTTGGGCTTCCTGTTTTTTGATATGCATCAATAGTAAGTTCGTGTTTAATGAAATAACCTCAGCAGAGACAACAGCTGAATAGATTTAAAATGGAGTAACGTTACGCCTTTCAAAAGCAGAAGGCAAAACTAACCGCAAACACTACAAAGTTTTTACAAGTCTCGCTAAAAATGCCTAACATCAATACTCTCAGAAGGGATATATTTACATGGATAATAACAATTTGTTCTCAATACAGGAAGAATAACAATACAGGTAAAAAGTGAACATGCAGATATCAAGATCATTTCTTTTGTAAGCCACATGAGAAACTCGTAATAATAAACGTAATAAATACTTAGCACTGCATGAATAAACTATAAAAAGAGCGTTGATAAGTAATAAAGTCCTGGAATTTTTCAAGATTGATTTACTTACAGGATGAATTATTTTTCACTCTACATTCTTTTCCCATAGCCACAAATGAGTAGAGATAGATTTACCTGTTTGCGCTTGTGAGATAAAGAATTCGATATCATCAGGCAACTCTTTAAGGAGAATGGCCAATGACGAACTTGAAAGAATCGTCTTCTTCTTCTTCTTCTTCTTCTTCTTCTTCTTCTTCTTCTTCTTCTTCTTCTTCTTCTATGTGGCATATCCCTTTAAGGCGTGAAAGGTCATGGCCCTCTATCTTATCATATCCTTTGTAGCTCTTAGTAAGTTTTGTTTTCATCATCTTGCACTGTCCCTGTTCTGCCATCCATTTGCACAATCTTGTTACTCGCTGTTTCCCTCTTACATTCAGTATGTCCTTTGAGTGTCAGACTCTCCAAGCCGTCTTTCTCATACCTGTGATAGACACATACATACATATCAAGACTGAGATTGAATCAAATAATAATATTAAGTATTTGAAAATATCCTCTTTGGCAATGAATATTGGACAATTTTTTCGCAGATGAAGAAGACACTTGAAGCGATAGAAATGCGATTCTGCCTATAAAAGCTAATATTACATTGTATATAGATCATTCGAGCAACGAAGAAGTTTTAAAGGAAATAAAAATGACAAGGATACTTACAATCAGAACGAGACAGCTGAAATATCTGAGAAACATAATGAGAAAAGAGGCCTTGGTGAATCTAGAACTCACACGACATAGTAAAGGCAAGTGAAGCAAAGAGAAACGTCCAGTAAGGTAATTAACTAGTTTGTCCTAATGAATGACAGAATAGGAACAAAAGTATCTAAGGGTGGCTGTTACTTTACGAAACAAAAATCAAGAAATTGTGGAGAGCCATGATCGCCAACTCCCCGATGAAAGGAAATGACAGATAAGAAGATATAAAAATGGAACTGTTATCGATTGGAAGTAGCTATATATATATATATATATATATATATATATATATATATGAGTGTGTGTGTGTGTGTGTAATGAATACATCGAATCTAGAAGAATCCTCAAAAAAAATGCAGAAAGCACTGGAGGGCCGTTTCGTCCTATATTGGGGACTCATCAGCAGTGCGCGTCCACTACCGAGAATTGAACCCAGGGAGTTACGATACAACGTATGCGTCGTACCAACTATACAAACAGTACCAACCGTGAGGATGAGGAATCTAATTAGACTCAATATAGCGCCGCTATTCACAAATTCTGTGGTTTAACTCATCCGAGATTCCCTAACACAACGGACTGTGCCCCCTAGATAAATAGATAGATAGATAGATAGATAGATAGATAGATAGATAGATAGATGGAGAGAGAAAGAGGGAGACGGGAGAGATAGTGGAGAGCACACCCTGTTGTAATGGTTAGCAAGTTATTTTTAATATCTTTTTGGAATGTGTAGAAATATTTTTTTCTGATTTTCCTGATTTTTCTTCCTTCCAGTTCTTCCGATTTGGATTTTATTCCGATTTCTTACAATTACTTCGGATTATATATTTAAATCCGTTTCTTTTCATTATTCCTTTACTTTTGCCAATAGTATTGTCTGTTTCTAAATTTCTTTCCTCGCTTCGTTATCATTAATTCATTTGCTCGCCACGTCTATTGCAAATGGCGCCTTCGTCAGGATAATGTATCTTTCTGCATCTGCCCAGACATACAACAGTGGGAAACGTTGAAAAGATCAATTTTCATTTGAACGGACTTGTAGACAGTATAGCTAGCTAGCTAGCTAGCTAGATAGAGCATATATATATATATATATATATATATATATATATATATATATATATATATTAAGAAATGGACAAAGTCCGACAATTTATTTATTAAAGACATTTTATGTTTAACGTTCTTTTTTTTTTTATAGATACAAGTATTTAAGTAAATGCTCTGTTTATAATAAACAGTATTAAATAACATTTACCGGCCTGAATGTCCGAGAAATTTTCAAAGGACGAATATTTTCTATGAAAATTTCTCGTAAAATGTTATTTAATACTGTTTATTATAAACAGAGCATTTACTTAAATACTTGTATCTATAAAAAAAAAAAGAACGTTAAACATAAAAATGTTTTTTAATATATATATATATATATATATATATATATATTGCGTCTTGTATGAAACAGCCTGTCGGCTCTAAGTGTTGACTTCAATGTTCACTTTTATATTTACACACATAAATATAGCACACTTTAAAACTATATTTCTGCATATATATATATACTACTTATATACTGCCTATATATATACTACATATATATATATATATATATATATATATAGGTTACATTATGAAATGGACAAAGTCCGAAAATTATTTTAAGACATTTTTATGTTATACATTCTTTTTATAGATACAAATATTTAAGTAAATGCTCTGTTTATAATAAACAGTATTAAACAACATTTACCGGCCTGAATGTCCGAGGAATTTTCACAGAAAATATTTTGCTGTTGGAGGATGAATATTTTCCATGAAAATTTCTCGGACATTCAGGTCGGTAAATGTTGTTTAATATCATATCTCAACGGTCCGGGTTCGATTCTCGGTATTAGATGTGCACTTCTGATGAGTCCCAGAAGAAACAGCCGACCATTGCATTCTGCATTCTGCTGAGGATTCTTGTAGACTCGATGAAATAATTATGATATATATATATATATATATATATATATATATATATATATACATATATATTTAAAAATGATTTTTTTTTTCGCTACACAATTCTAACCATGTTTCAAAAATGGAAGCTAAAAGCTTTTGTAATTAAAGACATTAGTTCCATTTCATCCTCAAGCGAATTTTGGAGTAACTTATTTTTAAAATTACTGGATTTTAAAGCCACTGCAAAAATTCATAATTCACGTTTCCAAGGATACAGAGAAATCCATTCATCCAGACAAGGGGTGGTAACTTGCGCATAAAACATTTTATTGATTATACATATATATCAATATTAATGTCTTCCAGTACTGATTCAAAATCCTTCTTTGTTCCTTTAAATCATAGCCATCGTTAAATTAACACTTTGCCTGCAATACATTTATTTTTATTATTTATCATATATTAAAAATTATAATAAAAATTATGAAAATAAAAATATTAAAAATTATTTTTATAAATTAAATAAATTCTAATATTAAATGAATTCTCGAACCACAATTATAATTCTAGTCATGCTGCTATAATATTTAAGGTATACCTATGTTTGCACCCCATCCGCCGTATGTAACTTTCTTATTTACTTTAAATTATTTCCCCATAATAAAAGCAAGGTCTAAAAATGTACAACAAACGAAAACCTGTTGCTATCCGTCGTCTCCATCTTTTACAAGTGCCAAGATGAATAAAGAAACACTCGAAACTTTGTTAAGAATTTCCTTAGCCAATTTAACTTTCATAAAGCCAATTTCCTTTGCATCTTCACGAATCTGGACGGCAGTATGTTTTAACTTTCTTAATGGAAAGATAGAAGGTTTGTAATGATTTAAGTAATCAAGAAACGAATAATTACAATTCGATGTCTTATCTTTCTTTTGTGATACGATGAAGAAGTATTTCAGACGAAATGTGTTCAGACAATTTCCCTACAGCGAAGCCATTAGGCTTAAAACAAAATGATTCAAAGATATCCGTTCTTTATGGTCGATATCTTTTATCGGAACGATGCTTTATTTGAAAGAGATTAGATAGTCGTCATTATGAATAAATCAAAGAAAGGAAGCTGCGTGGTAATTTTCGGTTAGAGATAATAAAAATGATAAAGAGAACGAAAAAGAGACGGAATAGAAAAGGAAATTAAAGAAAAAAAGGTAAAGGAAGTGTAAAAAAATGAAAAGAAAGAAAGAAAGAAAGAAAGAAAGAAAAAAAGAAAGAAAGAAAGAAAGTGAACGGATAGAAAAAGAACAATTGAAATAAATAAATAAAAAAAGAGGGCGAGAAAAAAAAGAACAGATAGAAAAAGAAGAACGAAAAGAAAGAAAGATAGAAAAAAAGAAATAAATAACGGATAGAAAAAGAAGAAAGGTAATTAAAAAAAAAAGGAAAGAAAATATCGAAACCCGATTGAAAAAAAAGAGAAAAAAAGAAGAGCCCATAGGTTCATTTGATGGTTGAGGAAAAGAGAAAGAGAGAGTTATGTGGAAGTTAGGAAGGTGTAAAAAGAGACCGCAAAGAGAAAGATAAAAAAAAGAGAAAGAAGCCATATGGCCAGAAAGTTAATACGCGTAAGAAGAAGAAGAAGAAGAAGAAGAAGAAGAAGAAGAAGAAGAAGAAGAAGAAGAAGAAGGATCATCATCATCATCGTGAGAGACAGGAGTGATAGCGTAAAAAGTGGAAGAGTGAGAGAGTGTGTGCCGAATCAAAATAATCGAACTGTTTATTAATCGCAGACAGGTTGACCACATGAGTGACTCAAGAAAAGAATTGGTGTTTATAAATAAGACTTTAATTTGAAAGAAAACAATTGCCTGACTTGGCTATACGGCAAAGCAAGCGACATTATGTCGGAGAACAAGTAAAGCTTTATTGACAGACTTATGTAGACAAAAGTGTCTAATTGCACAGACTAAATGAGTGGACGTTTAAACAGGCGCAGACACACATATTGATGGAGATGTCTTTACGTAATAATAATAATAATAATAATAATAATAATATCTACCAGTTTTACTACATTTTATTGTTGATTTTATTACATTTTCAATCAAAAATTCAACTGCGAGAGACATTAACTCATTCCGCATGTCAGAACTCTTTATTTCATGGACAGCGCTTTAGTCACATTGGTCAAGGAAGTCTCATTAAGTAAGCGGACCACAAAATTGCATTAATTTTGCTGTCTCCTCTTCCCAGATTGTCTACACCAAATATTCACAACGTAGGGCGCATGCCCCACCTGTGGGGCATGCATAGGATGTGCACCCTTCGGCTTACTATACCAACAGAATAAGGGGGCAATTTGAGAATGAGTTATTAACAGTGAATTGTTTTCTAGTGAGTCTGAGTGAGAATGTTAATATTAATGCGTATTAATACATACGATACATATACAGTATGTGGTAATAACCTTGGGAAAGGTATGAATTCTCTTCTTCTCGCTCAGCTATGGTTAAATAGCAGAACAGAACGGGCTCTATAGCCTTAGATGGCAACTGTCTACCGCAGAAAGAAATGGCAACCTACTGCGGGGAAAAATCTGCCTCGTCAGTCATGTATCGAAAAATACATGATCGATTATGGGTGTATCACGCATGGCACATAACTGACTAAGATAAGAAAATTGAGCATAAAATAGGTTTTGCTCAGGATAGTTTCACTCAACACCGCAAGGTGTTGCAAAACCAAAACATTAATCGGAAAACTTAAGCCATTTACTTTAAATAGACTCGTCAGATCAAGACTCTCATTTGGATGTCATGCATGCGGTTCAATATGACCAGAAATATCTATAATATCCTCTTTATATAATCGTTTTCTCGGATCAATTATTAAAGCCACTGAACCCGGTTGGTCTTAAAAAGGACTGCACATCGTCGGAGATCGTAGACTGGCACTACAAAATCACAAAGAATTTTACCAAATAACAGAAACAACATCCGTCGAAGACTTTCAACAGCTGAAACAGCTAAATTGGTTAGCACATGCAACTCAAAGGAAAAATTATGACGTAATCAAGATGTTGACTTTCCGCTCTACTTTAAACAAATGTTTAGAAAGAAAATCTCTATGAATATTAGAAAGAGCAATGGCAGTGGAATAGAGAAACCTATTGTCTTGAAAAACTGTCTTAAGTTTTTTATAGGTTCCAACCGACAGTAACGTAAAATTTCGGTCAATGACTACCAAATGCTTCTTTAATATTACACAATGTGTTTTAGAACCTCGTTCTACTACAATTGAATATAATGAATTGAAAGGTACAGTAGAATTATGCAAGCCTCATGTGAAAATAATTACCGCAATAAAGAGCCCTATAACATATTGTGACCGTATGGATACCACATGTACTGCCTCCGGAGACACAGGAGTTGCATCTAGGGCAAGATGGTGTAACGAAGCGTATCCCAGTTCAAGTTGGTTTTGAATTCGGAATACGGAAATAAAAAAAGTGCCTCGCCTATCGTCTTATTTTCAAGGATTTGAATTCTTTTTTTTTTTTTTTTGTCTGCTAGGTTGGTTTAAATCCAAGACAATATGGACAATTATGTCTTGCTATGTCAACCATAGTTGTCGGAAGATGGATCCATGCTTTTTCCAAGACTATTAGTGTGAAGCATATAAAACTGAATTTGAACTTTGCACTTTAAGAACCTTTTTCACGGCGATAACCTCGCCGCTAACCTCACATCTACAGATAAAAATAATAATGGTTTCCTAAGTTATAGATTGAGTATAATGCATTTGTTATAATTCTATTTTTTTTTTTTATATATTTAATAATTAATTTGCATAATTATTGTCGTTGCATACTTTGTCTCTCCTGTGTCTGCGTAGTCTGGACGAATTTCCTCGTCTTTATTGATTTTTCTTATCATAACATCCATGCTGTGTTCCATCCGGGCTTTCTCAGGTGACCATTTGAAATGGCGAATCCTGTTGTAAAAGCGCCTGTGCTTCCTTTCTTGTACACATCATATCTGTTTGCCACAGTTGTGAATTATTAACAGGCTTCTCTTGACATCTGCACTTGTAACCTTCCAGTGAACCTGTTGAACTTTAACTGCTCACTCATCCTTCTGGCTATGTTTCTGGAATCCAAAGTCCATTGCCTGCTTTTTTCCCCCCTTATTAATGGCCTCAGCATGCTATTAATGTCTATGCTCGATTTGCTGATCCGGTTATCTGAGTAGAACATGTATTCAGATTCCTTTAACCTTCTTATTCTTCAATGTTGCTCTTTATTGTTTAGATTTCATTCCATAGCTTTGTGTGTGTGTGTGTGTGTATGTATGTATGTGTGTGTGTGTGTGTGTGTGTGTGTGTGTGTGTGTGTGTGTGTGTGTGTGTGTGTGTGTGTGTGTGTGTTGCGCTTCCACTCCCAGGGGTCAGTCAAATCTGATTTTATTCTCAGGGAGTGGTTTTGTATTCCTCTCATGCTTCCATAACTGCATGAAATGAATCTCTAGTCAACTTCCTACTCACTAATAATTCACTGATACAAGTCCTGCGAATTAACCCATAGCTGGGGAGAGGAGAGGTTTGTTCATACCTTTCACAAGAGTATTTGCGCGTAAGTGAATTTAACGGGCCCGGCTAAAATTGGAACTCGGCTCTCTGAGATCAAATTCCGAACTGTTATTCGTTACACCACCCGCACATCCAAACTTACAAACACAATTAGATTCATTGGCCGTGAAAAAAAAACAAATGTTATTCTTCTTCTTTTTCTCCTTGGTGCCTTGTCCCTTCACGATATGAGCGATCATGACTCTCTACAACTTCCTATCCTTATCAGCTCTTCTCAATGCTTATATGCTTACTATCCTTATGAATCCATGATCCCTAGCATTCGCAAGTGGTTACCCATCTAGGTACTGACAAAGGTCGATGTTGCTTAACTTCGGTGATTGTACGAGAACTGATGTTTTAACATGATACGGCCGCAATCCCAGAAAGGAATGAAAGTTGAATGCGTCCCTGTCGTATAACGATGTACGCTCTACTCCAGATGATCCTCGATATTTTTAGTGACTTTGCTCCTCACCGAGTGTCTCTTAATTGTTGGTTCTCTTCCAAAAGTAAGAAAATATCAAAAAACGAAGTTTAGTAATGATTTAGCGCGTTTTCTTTATTCTGAGAAAAAAGAATTAAAAACAAATAGAGTTTTAAAATAGCAGATCACTTATATTCGTTTTTTCTCCCTCCCACTTCTCTCCATATTTCGCTTTCTCTCTCTCTCTCTCTCTCTCTCTCTCACTATATATATATATATATATATATATATATATATATATATATATATATATATATAAGTGAACATTTGTTTATATCGCTTATTTAAAGGTTTTGGTTTGGTTTGGGAAGATAATTAAGGCTATTTAATCAATTTTGGGGTTGATTGTTGTAGTTTATTCTAACTATTAATTTGGCGGGAGCAGTTTTTAATTTGTTTATTATTTAATGTATTTATTTGGATTGATTATCTTTATTTGTTTTTTCTAAGTGTTAATTTATCGGAATCGGTTTGTTAGTTTGTTTACTCATTTATTTATCTGGATGAATTTAGATTAATTTATTTTTACTTAATTTTATTATTTATTTATTATACTGTATATGTTTATTTACTCTTTTCGGTTTTCTATTTTTAAGTAACGTAGTATTTTTTTATCGTTATATAACAGTTATAGCTATGTTTTTCGTCCGATTTTTGGTTTGATTTTTATAGTCTAACTAATATTTTGGTCATAATGGTTTGTTAATTTGTTTATTGTTTACTTTATTTATTTGGGTACATTGATTTTGTTTTTTATTTTTTATTTATTTATTCTATTTCGTCTATTCTGACTGGTGTGATTTGGTAATTTGTTTGGGTTAATTTATTTTACTTATTTTGTTGTCATTTTGTTTATTTATTTATTTTATTTTATTTTATTTTATTTTATTTTTTCAGTTTTCAATTTTTAAGTAAGGTAGTAAAAAATTGTTTTCATGTCTGCATTTTGAGGTGAGCTTGGATCGTTTATTTAATAATTTGTTTTGGTCTGGGAAAGTAATGATAGTTATTTTTCCTCCAAGCAAAGTTTATCATTGGGGTTTCTATATGGTTTGTATGTGCCTTTTCTTAGATTGAAGGTAACATCTAGAAAATCTATTTCGTTTAGGTTAGTTTTTTATATCTATGTCGAATCCGTTATTTTTGAAAATCTATATATATATATATATATATATATATATATATATATATATATAACATATGCATTTTATAAGATCACTACAAAATTGCAATATTGTTTCGACACTTCTGATTTCCTATTAAATAATAAGTCATATTGTAGGTGTATATATATATATATATATATATATATATATATATATATATGTGTGTGTGTGTGTGTGTGTGTGTGTGTGTGTGTGTGTGTCGTGACCTGAGCTGCGA